GCATCTATCATGAGCCCATTATAATTCCTTTAGGTTCTCTGTGTGACAGTATACTACATGCTCACATTCCATTTCTAAGAATATACATCCTGCCAAGTTGTTTAGTGTTTTGTTAACAGTAGGTTTTCTACTCAGCTTCAGTTTTACATTTCTTGCTCAGTTAGTTCTTTTAGATGAAACAGTTCCTCAGTTCTTTGGAGAGTGGAGTTAGTATGTATAATCTAACTTCTGTATCCAGTGTCCTTTGATTTGTCCTGAGAGCTGTGTAGAGGATATTCCCATTAGGAGCTGGGGGATGAGGTTTTAAAATATTGTATGTGGTACAAGTATAGATGGGTTTCTAGGAGGCACTACTAGAAACTTTATAGTTGATACATTTTGAATGTCATTGAATTCTGGGCTTTGAAAGTTTCTGAGGAATGACTGCGTTTCTTCCCCTTTGCCCTTTTGCTCTTTCTTGTGAAGAATGACTGTTTTGGTGCTCTCAGGAAAAGCTCAGGTGGGGCAAGCTGGCTCAGTTTCCTTTTGCTAGCTAGCATGCTGTTGAAAAAGACATCCAAATTACCAACAGCAAAATTCTCTTGCAAGATATATTTTATACTGCAGACATGGGAGAATTATTTTGTATTTAGTATGTTCTCCAGAGATAATTTAACCAGCAATTTCTATATTTAAGATGTGTGTTTGCTGGGGCTGGAGAGATGGCTCAGCGGTTAAGAGCACTGACTGCTCTTGTAGAGGACCCGGGTTCGATTCTGAGCCCTCACGTCAGCTATAAACCGTCCTTAACTCCAGTTCCAGGGGAATCCAACACCCTCTTCTGACCTCTGCGACACTGCACAACATGAGTGCACTCACATACATGCAGACAATACACACATACACATAAAATTTAAATTAAAAAAAAAAAGAAAAAAAAGATGTCTGTCTGCTTTCACAAAACATAGAATGCTGAGTGCAGAGCTTTGGAATACGAGCTTTCTGTGGGAATGCTTCTGTTAGGTAGGTAAGAGCCCCACATTTAGTGCAGATATAAGAGAAAATGGAGAGTAATATAATGCTAGTTAGAGAAAGATGTTGGTTGATGACACCAGAAATGGATTATTGGTTCCATCAGCAAGTGTATGAGATACTGAGGATGAAACAGTTTGATTTGGAGGATTGGAGTGGTGATGACTTTGTTATCGTTCTTCCTTTTGAGAGAAGAAAGTGACCACATTGAAAAACAAAACTATCTCCTGATTGCACACTGACTGGAGTTCTTTCTCCATATGCAGGGAGTAATGATGTCATGGGGAAGGTAACTGGGGCTGGCTCATACCTTTTTATCTACCTGGAAGTTAGATATTCAGATATGTATCCTGAAAGCAGGTCTGCCACTTGATAAAATCTTTTTGAGCCCTCATCAACTCCTGTAGAAGGAACTGTTCTGTTCCTAGGACTACCCTAGGACTCCTATCACTAGGAAAAAGTTAAGCACAAATACATTTCCTTCCTCATCCCACTCAAATCTGCAAGCCTACTTGGCAGTTACTGCTACAAGCTCTGGCCAAAAGAAGACTTGTAAAGATCATGAAGTGATGGCTTTATGCTAGATCCTGGAGCGTACAGGTAGTGAGGCTCTTAGGACCTATCTGATGAGCTGAGCTCAGGAGCCTGAGTCTAAAAAGGCTGATATTCTTTCTTTGCACCTAATGCTATATAGTCCAGACCCCGAGGACTCATCAACATCCAAGCAGTTTTATGCTTTCAGCCACTTTTAGGGGGAAAAAAATGGCTCAATTTTTTCACTCTGTAGCTTTCTTAAACTAGTTCCATGTTTTATAGCCTTCTGGTAGTAAAGTAGGGTTGCTTTCGAAGCTATAACCGTTGATTTTATTCTTCTACTCAGAATCTTGACCTGTTTGAGTGTACATAATATATATAAAGGGAGCCATAATGGATTTGTTTTCAAAATTTAATATTTTTTGTATTTGCTCTTGTATAATTGTTTTTAATAGAAAGTATTACAGAATCGAGGGTGGAATTCTTATAACCAGTTATTCTTAATAAAAATACGATGTACTTGGACCATGAAAAAAAAAAAAAAGAGCACTGACTACTCAGGGCTGAAGAGATGGCTTAGTGGTTAAGAGCTCACACAAACACACACACATACACACACATAGATATATAAAACATATTTTGGGAACTGGAGAGGTGGCTCAAATGTCAAGAGCACTGTGTGCTCTCACAGAGAACCCAGGTTCGATTTCCAGCACCCACATGGTGGCTAACAACCTCCTGTAACTCCTGTTCCAGAAGAATCTGACACCCTCTTCTGAACTCTGCAGGCACTGCATGACATGGGTGGACCTACCTACATGCAGGCATTATACTCATACACATAAAAAATAAAAATAATAAAATATTTTTTTAAAAAAGAGCACTGACTACTCTTACAGTGGACCTGGGTTTGGGTCCCAGCACTCACACAGGCAGCTAATAACCATCCATTACTCCAATATATGGCACACTTACATACTTGCAGACAAATCACACATACCCATGAAATAAAGAAAAAAAAAGAATTCAGAGTTCAATGTCTTCAGGTACTGGGGCTTGAGGTATTCCACACTGGCTCTGTGTCCATCCTGATGTGGGTTATATCCAGGTGCTTTACTACCCTGTACACTCCGGAGCAACTTGGCCCCATGTTAACACTGGGATGGCACTTTTCTGTCTGCCCTTCAGAACTGTGGCTTTGGTTTACTGTCTTCTGGAACAGGCAGATCCTGTCAGCAAGATGACTGGCTGTGTACGAAGGAGCCTCCATGGACACTCTCGAGCTCTGTCAGTGCTACTTATTTTGCATCCAATTCTTCCAGGAATAGGTCCTGCTCTTTCACCATGCAAATTTATACCTTTCTTCATCAGAGAGCTCTTGCTTTCCCCTCACATTTCTGGGCACTATTCCTTTTCCACATCTGGACAAGAACCATTGACCAGAAACCAGTCTCTTTGCTGCCCTGGCCCTTATGCCCAGTTTCTCCAACCCCTTTACTTTTCTACTCACAGCATGCTTTTCCACAAGCCTGTTCTTCTGTGGACTTAATCTATCTCATTTCTTGCTGCTGTTAATGGAGGGGTCTCATGTTTTAAGGTTTTACTATTTTCTTCAGCTCTGCCAACTCACTTTGTCCACCAATGTTTGAGCTTTTTTTTCCTCCCCATTATATATTTTGAATTTTGTAAATTTTTTTTAGACAGAGAAGGTTCCATGTAAAATGTCCTTGTTTCCTGAGTTAACTCTAGGTTTTTCTTCCTTATCTGTGTTTCTTAGTGTCCACATAAGAGTGCCCTCTGGCTCTGAATTATCAGTGATCTTTATCACTATTATTTGTAGTCCTGGAGATGGAGCTCAGAGACTTTTTTTTTTCTTTTTTGAGACAGGGTCTCTCTGTAGCTCCAGCTGGTCTGGAACTCTCTATGTAGACCATGCTGGCCTTGCACTTAAGAGATTCCCCTGCCTCTGCCTCCCCAGTGCTGGGATTAAAGGTGCTACCACACCTGTTGAGCTCAGAGTCTTATAGACGCTAAGCAAATGCTATACTACTGAACCATACCCCAACCCTTATGGGCATCTTTAAACAAAGAAGGAGCAGGACTAAGCATCCGACTCAGACTGGATGTTGTTCCATGTGCTTGTTACTTTTGTCAATTTGACACAAACTAGAGTACCTGAGAAGAGGAAACATCAATTGAGAAATTGTATCCATCAGATTGGTTATGGGCATATCTCAAGGCCATTTTCTCGATTGCTAATTGAGGCAGGAGGCCCAGCCTACTGTGGGCAGTGCCATCCCTAGGCAGCTGGGCCTGGGCTGTATAAGAAAGGTAGTTGGGCAAGCCAGAGGAAGCAAGCCAGTAACCAGCATTCCCCCATGGTCTCTGCTTCAGTTCCTGCCTCCAGGTTCTTGTTTGAGCTCCTGCTCTTGCTTCTCTTGATGATGGATTGTAACATAAGATGAAATAAACTCTTTTCTCCCCAAGTTGCTTTTGGTGAACAAACTTAGAACTGAGGAACCCTCTTCTACCAAATCTTGTCTGGGATTAGCCTGTGATATAGTCAAGCATGGCAGAGGCCCAACTCAGGCCAGCTGATCTGCAGCATCACCCAGTTTACAAAGGTACAAGAGACCCTTGTAAGTCTCACAACTCTCATCTCAAGACTCTACTTTGCTCTGAATTGGCCATAGTCGGGGTAGACTGTGTGTCACTGGCAGTTTGAGACTCAAAGTCTAACATACAGCAGTATCTCTACCATGGTCAATAAATTTCTTCCCTGGTAGTTCAGATAAGACAGTCTTCAGAAAGTTTCTGAGTGACTGCTGTAGCCTCTGTCTGCTGCCTGGTACAGTGGGAACACATGGGTCAGAATGGGTTTCACTGTTACTAACTAGGGCAAAGGGACAGGCCACAGAAAGCCTCCTCTCAAATGAGCCAATTCTCCCCTGGGAGTCTAAGGGATTGACAGCCTGATTCAAAGGGCCCAGTGTGCTAGATGCAGTGGCAAATACCTTTAATCCCAGCCCTTGGGAAGCCGAGACTGGCAGATATCTGTAAGATAAAGGCCAGCCTGGTCTACAGAGCAAAGCAAGTTCCAGGCCAGCTGGGACTAAAGAGAGACCTGTCACCTTCCCCCACCAAAAAGACAAAGGGCCCTGTGCCCAGTGTGCCTACTAATGATTTCTCACTTGGCCCATGGGGGAGGGGAGGAAGAGCAGGGGGGCAGGAAGAGCAGCAGCACTGGTCTAAAGAAGACACAGATCTGCAGTTCCACAGCAGTGGCAACTGTCTTTTTCTCTTCTCCCCTATTTTACCCTGTGAGAATATGGATCTTCTTGAAAAATAAAACTGGGGCACCTCAGCAACCCCTTCCTCCTCAGATGCCCCAGCATATCTTTTACTAGGCTCCATGAAGCCACAGACCCCATTCTTCAAAGTAAATACTCACTTACCAGCAGCATCCCTAAAAATCGCTCCTGTTTCACTATAGTTTGGCCTTGCAAGACTGAACTGGCAGCAGCGCCTCTTCCATATGGCCGACATCCTCCTCAGTCTGTAGCTGCTCTCAGATTCACTATAGAAGAGATGTAATTCTTGAATTTTCATTCTTTTTGTTCGTTTCAAGGAGGAATTAGGATGAATATGTCTTTGCTTAGCCAGCATTTCCAGAAGGCCTGAGTCTACTTCCAAGGCCATCTATAAGGAGCTTTCCAAGTCTTACACAAAGAACTGGTTCACAGTTCACATTCTGAAAGCATGACTGTGTGCTGGGTACACAATGCCTCATTTTCCAAACCCCATGCCTATGACTCGTTTGGGCACAGTGCAGCATAGTGAACAGCAAGGGTGCTCTCGAAGTCTTCAGTAGCTACTCTCCCTGACTCCTCTGTTTCCCAAGGGATGGCCATACTATCTATTTCTGATTCAATCAGAAATCACAGTCAGCCAAGGCCAGCTTCTCATTTTTGTTTTATGCTTTTTTTTTTGGTCTTTTTGAGACAGGGTCTCCCTGTAGCCCCAGCTGTCCTGGAACTCACTATGTAGACCAGGCTGGCCTTGAACTCACAGAGATCCACCTGCCTCTGCCTCCTGAGTGCTGGAACTAAAGGCGTGCGCCACCACGCCCGGCCTGTTTTATGCTTTTTGAGAAAGGGTCTTACTCTGCAGCCCAGGCTAGCATAGAATTCACTAGATAGCCTAGGCTGGCCTCTACTCTTACAGGAATTCACCTGCCTCAGTCTTTCTTGCTGGGTTTACAGGTGTAAATTGTCACACCCAGCTTCAGGATCAGCTTTTGTGTGTGTGCGTGTGTGCGTGCATGTGTGTATGTTTTCTAGGATCAGCTTTTAAAACTTTTCTAAGAAGGGGAAAGGAGGAACTTGGACCATACCAGCCCAGAAAAAAAGTATGGCTAGAGTCACTTCATTAAAATGCATAAGGATTTCTGGCTACGGTATTGCTAGCTAGACACGTGCATGGCCACTGTTGGGTCCTGAGGACAGCAAGGACCATGAGGCCAGGAGCTGACTACTTAACTCCACTATTGACTAGGTTTTTCCCAGAGACCCCATCTAGCCCAAAGAGAGGGAGGAAGAAAAAAAAAAGTCACCTTCAAAGTATAAGAAGCTAAAAGAGCTAGGTTTGATGGTATATACCAATAATCCCAGTATTCAGGGATCTAAAGCAGGAAGATCTTTAATTCTAGGCCAGCCTGGGTTACTTATCCAGATCTGGTTTCAAAAAACAAAACCAGGGGCCTGGGAGATGGCTCAGTGGTTAAAGGTGCCTGCTGCCAAGACTAACAACTTGAGTTCAATCTCTAGGATCCACATGGTGGAAGGAGAACCTATTCCCACAAACTGTCCTCTGACCTCCATACATGCACAGTGACACACGTACATCCACACACATTCACACATGCATGTGAAATAAAAATAAAACAAAAAATAGACAACACACACAAACAACAAGCCTGCCCCCCACCCCCAATCAAGCCAAACAAAAATGCTGACAAAAAAGAAGACAAGAGCAGGCTAAACTCAGATTTTGTAATCCAATATGCACCTTTGCTTTCTTGATGATAGAAGTTTCTCTAACACAGTACTGATCTCTCAGTACTGTCTGTTCCTTTCTGTACAGTCTTAAATTCTGCTTGTACCTTCTGTGTTCATTTTTAAATTCTATTTTCAGAGTGGTATGTTTTAATTTTTATTAGTGTTCAGTGACATCTATGCTCATCTCCATTCTCAACTGTTTTCTTAGGAATTTCTTACCTTCCCATCTGGATGGTGGCATTCAAGATCAGCCATCCTACCTGGCTCTGACTCCTTATTCTTGGACTCTCCTCCTTCTGGAGTTGTAGTGTGGAGGCATCTAAGCATTTGTCTCAGGCCACTGACATCGACTTTGTTCTTTGCTGTTTTCCCAATTACTGTGAGATAGGAAGTACTACCATCCTGTGAGAAGTGCCCAACTGTTCCAATAGAGTCCCATCAATAGGTTCTACAGTGTGCATTGGTATAGTGCAAGGAGACATGCTCCATCAATGCTAAGGCTTCTCTATTTAGTGAACCAACCATCCATGATCTACTGATGGCATGTCTATTCTCTACTTTTGGTACAGCTGAAGGACCAGCTCCTGCCCATTTTCCTTCACTGTCTGTAGATGGCTGACCTTACCAGCCAGGACTAGGAGATACCATGAAGAGGTGAGGCCACAGAGTGAGTCACACATGTCATACTTAAGAGCTCAACACCTTGTTTCCTGTTGGGAAGGATAGGAATTTACTTAGAGGGTCCCAGGGCTAGGCACTGCTGTGTCTGGAACATTCTGTATCCCCATACTCCTGTATTAGCATACTTAGTTCTGATCTTGATGGTGTAGAGCCTGGAGAATGGTCAGAAGCTGCCAAGGAAGGTGGTGGCTTTGTCTTATAGCTCCCTTGCTTCCAAACTGCTAAGCTGCTACTGCTTTTCTTTTTAAAAACAGGCTCATGTAGCACAAGCTGGCATTGAACTTACTATATAGTAAAGGCTGGCCTTGAACTCCCCATTGTTGGGATTATAGGTGTGTGTCTCCATGCTTGGCTTTGCCAAACTTTTTGATGGATGCCTACATAGGAGAGCAACACAGATATGAATGTCTTACATAACCTGATAGTGGCTACCCTTTGCTGGGCACTCACCATATTTTGCATTCCTATCTTTCTCTACAGGGAAGTCTGAGGCAGGCCTTTTCAGCCTCCATCTGAAAGATCAGCAGAGAGCAACCAGGATTGATGGGCTATGCTGATATCAAGACAGTTACCAGATGGAGGATATATAACATCTAGAACCAAGATCTGTTCTGAGTAGGTTCTGTCCAGAACCCAGTATGTCCACTTCCCAAGTATAGAGCAGGCTTGGCCACAGCACACTCTGAGGCTACAGACACCCAGGGAGTAGGCCAGGTGCCATCCACATGATGGGCCTCTCACTGGCACCCCCACCCCTGTGCTGGCTGTTCCTCCTTCCATCCCTCACTGTGGGAAAGTTCCGGTCATGAGTGGGCGAGAAGGTTCTCAATTCCAACTTCCTACGCTGAGTTCTGGAACAGAGGACGCTCTGTACTGGCTCCTGATGGGGTCTGTTTAGAGAATGAGTCCCAGAAACAGCAATCTGCTTCTGGTGCCAGCAATACCCTCACATGGTCTTCCCCTCCCTACCACTTCCAGCATGTGCTTGTGTCCATGCCTGTGTGTGAGTATGCCAACATCTGGCCCCTGCATGAAGAAGCCTACCTTTAGGAGAGGGGTGAATCAAGATGAGTATCAGGACACCCTTGGTGCCATCATTGGCTGATACCCTCCCCCATTGACTATGTTTATACAAAGGACACAGGATCTAGCAGTGACTATAAGAGCAGGAAAGAAGCCAGTACTGACCAGTAGGAATCCTGTGGCCATACTCATTGGGGCAGCCACTGTGTCCTAAGGTGGGCTGGCAAGGAAACAACCAAGGTCATCAACATGATCCTTCCTGCTCTCTGGGGGAGGACCTAGGAAACAGCAGCACCTGGAAATGCTGGCAACAGGAGACACCCCAAGGAAGCACTGGTGAGTACCCACCCTCAAGGCCCATTGTGCAGAGAAGTGGTCAGAGGAAATGACAACCCCCACTGGCCATCCCTTCCCTGTTCTATGTTGCCCTGGTTCCTATCAGTGACTCAGTGCCACCTCCCTTGTAGTACCTTGTCACAATCCTCCAGTCTTCTGCTGAGACCACATACAGCATGCTCATACCCGCTCTGCGGCGTTATCTGCTTATCAGAAACAGGAAAGAAAGTCACCTCTGGGCATACAACTACAGAGTTCCAGCCAAGTCCTTGTCAGGACTGCTGCTGGAGAAAGTACTGGTCATATATGACTGTCCACAGACTAAACCGCTCATTTCTAGTTTTCATAAGAGATAAAGTAACTCCAGCCAGGTGTGGTGGTATACACCTTTAGTCCCAGCACTCAGGAGGTAAAGATAGGTGAACCTCTGTGTTTGTTCAAGACCAGCCCAGTCTACATAGTGAGTTCCAGTCCAGCTGGGGCTACAGGGAGGAGACCCTGTCTCAGAAAGGACACACACACACGCACGCACACACAAATAAATAAAAATAAATAAATAAATTAATTAATTAAAAACAACTCCAGTTCTAGGTCAAAACCAGTATGGGTTCAAGTCAGGGGATGGCCTGGTATGCTCACCTTTCTAGGAAATGTTGATTAGGACAATTCAGTGAGGAAGACTGATAGTGATGTATAAGGTAAGGGCATCATGAATATAGTGTACTCATAGGAAAAATACTGTATCATATAGTATGTAGGAAAGAAAATGAAGCCAGAGGTGCAAACAGAAGATGGAGACTCACACACCCACAGCCATGTGCCATTAGGTACCTCTTTGTACAGCAGGTGCTCAGGGAGGCCAAGCCCATGTTGCCTTTTGCCACTCCTGGGGAAGTTATTTCTAGGTACTCAGTGGCAGTACTGGAAAATGATTGATGAAGTTGAGAAACATGTCCTCACACCCCATGATGGAGTCCACTTTCAGGAAAACTTACCTGACAGTCTTCTATGACCTCTTCAGACCAGCCAAAGTCTGAACCACAGCAAGTAAGAAAAGTCAATAAGGGGGCTGGAGAGGTGGCTCAGGGGTTAAGAGCGCTGGCTGCTCTTACAGAGGACCCGGGTTCAATTCCCAGCACCCACATGGAGGCTAGGAACCATCTTTAACTCTAATTCCAGGGGAATCCGACATGCTTTTCTGGCCTCTGTGGCACTGTACGACACGGGTGCACTCAGATACATGCAGGCAATACACTCATACACATAAAGATAATAAATAAAATATTTTTTTAAAAAGTCAATGAGACTTCCAAAACTGCTATCACCTTGCCAACCTACAAGAAGGAACTAGAAAAGGACAGGAGAGATGTCCTAGGTAGGCAGCCTGATCTACTCTTTGGTTTGGTTTTTGTTCCATATTTTATTTTTTATTTTTATTTTTTGACAGGGTCTCCCTATAGCCCCAGCTGCCCTGGAACTTGCTATGGAGACCAGGCTGGCCTTGTTCTCACAGAGATCCATCCACCTGCCTCTACCTCCCAAGCACTAGGATTAAAAGCATGCACCACCATGCTCAGCATTCTGCTCTATTTTTAAGACTTCAGACTAGCTCCTAACTAGATGGTAATGGAGAGAACATATGCTTTGTCAGAGAGAAACTACAGAGCTTTGATGCCCTCTCTGGTAGAAAAAAAAAGCAAGTACTGCTATTGGACAAAAACCTGTGAGCAGGCAAAAATGCTCAGAGCCCAAGAGGTCAAAGACCAAAAGAACCTACTGGAACCTGAAGAGGAGAGGGGACCACTTGGAGCAGCCTCTGAGGGCCCTGGCCTGCAGCTGATCTTGAGCTATGTTTACCATACTCAAGAAAGCAGAAGAAAGGACTCAGAGGAGATTCCAGGCTGGGAGGGTATATGATGAGCTGGAAGACACTCACTGTTCTTCCTTTAGGGCCCACTGTTCTTCCTTTAGGGCCCAAGTTATGGCCTGGCCTTGACTGCAGCAAGGCTGAGACATTTGGGAAGGGCAAAAATGCAAACAAATTTCATTTTGTTTTTGTTGTTTGTTTTGGGACAAAGTCTTACTCTATAGTTCAGGCTAGCCTTGAAGTTCTGATCCTCCTGTATCACTCTCAAAGTGATTTTGCCACCATACTCATTTCCATTTCAGGTTTTGATAAATGAACTCTGCATGTTTAAATATCCACTATGGGAGGTTTTAGAGATGGCCCAGCAGTTAAAAGTATGTACTGCTGCCAGGTGTGGTGGCGCAGGCCAGCTGGGGCTACAGGGAGACCCTGTCTCAAAAAGACTGAAAAAAAAAGAATGTATTGCTCTTGCAGAGAATCCAAGTTTGGTTCTTAGCACTCACATAGGGCAGCTCACAATTGATAACAACTCATCCCACACACAGGCATACACATAATCAAAAATAAAAAAAATTAATACTAAAAAAATCCACTATGGAAGCTGAATATTAATGTTGAAAAATTTTTTACATATATAAAACAAAAATGGTCAAGAAAGAAAGAAAAAGTAACCCATCTGTGGTGGTTTGAATGAGAATGTCCCTAATAAACTCAAGTATTTGAGCACTTGGTCAGTTGGTGGTACTGTTTGGAGAAGGTCATGGAACCTTTAGGAGGTGTGGCTTTGTTGGAGGAAGCATGCTACTGGGGTGGGCTTTGAGAGTTTATAGCCTAGTTCACTTGCAACTTGCTTTTCTCTGATTCCTGTGCCTGTGAAAAGATGGGAGTGTTCAGCTTTGTACCACCTCCACACCCTTTGGAACTGCAAGCCAAATAAACTCCTCCTTTTATATGCTGCCTTTGTTATGTTGTTTTATCAAAGCAACAGAAAAATTATACACCATTCCTAAAATGACTAGACAGAGTACAAAGTAAGATGGCAGAAATTAGTTCAAACGTGGTATGATTGCAATAAATATAAACAGACTAATGGTCTAGCTAAGTGTCAGGCAAGATTTTTAAAGATTCAGATACAGATGTACATGACATAGCAATAAGGATCCTGTTGGATCACACTGCTTGGTGACACTGTAGCTATTCTAGTCATACAAGTTCACTTGATGGTGTTTGCATGACAAGCAGCCTAATAATACACAAATTGGAACATATTCCCTTTCTTAAATTATGCATGACTATAAAAGTGCAAGAAATTCAGAAAGTCATGAAATGGCAGAAGACTGTAACCCAACTAGCCAGGCTCTAGCTGGTGGGTATGTAGAATGCTGTACCCAGGAAACAAGACAAACTGCTTCTTTCAGCTGCTCATGGAACATTTCTGAAACTGACCACATACCAGGGCATAAACCAAGTTCCCAACAAATGTCAAATGACTGGAGCTACCCAGCCAGGCTCCCTCCCTATACAAAGACAAAAAGCATAAACAGGGCAAGAAAGAAGACAGAGCAAATAAAAATCTTCTAGTAAAGAAACTGCTGTCATGAAAATAAAAGTGTGTCAAGTGCCAAAAAATAAAAAATAAAAAAAATACTGTGCCTAGAAGCAGCGGCGGTATCAAGCAGATACAGTAGCCCTGGGAGTTTCAGAGAATTTGGAACAGAGTTCACAGGTATGAGGAACCCTGAGAGCTGTACATAGGTCCTAGCCTCTCAGCTGCCAGCTCTGAGGGAGCCCAGACTCCAATGTTCCCAGGAAAAAGTTACCCTCCATTCACTTTTAAACAAACCAACAGCCACATAGAAACCGCATGATGAACAAACTGATCTGCATCTACTGACCATATCAACCTGTTAGATAAATAAACTTCATCATTCAGTTGCATTAGCTGTCATGATGAGATTGCTTTGGAAATGTGTATATTGTTGAGTTTGGACAAAAGAATAAATGACAGTAAAAGCAGGGCATGGTAGTGAATGCCTTTAATCCCAGTACTGAGGAGGCAGAGGCAAAGGTGGATGATGATTGTGAGATTGAGGCCAGTCTGGACTACGTAGTGAATTCTATCTAGGCCAGCTGGGGTTACAAGGAGATCCTATCTCAAGAAACAAAACAAAACAAAACAAAAATCCAAAACAAAAGATGAGAACTGTGTGCCCAACTCAGGAAATCTTCTACAAAGTCTAGCATTTTAAAGACCAGTCACTTCTGATTTGTAGTTAAAAGCATTATAATGTTGGGCTGGAGAGATGGCTCAGCGGTTGAGCACTGGCTGCTCTTGTAGAAGACCCAGGTTTGATTCCCAGTACCCACATGGAGACTAAGAATCATCCATAACTCCAGTTCCAGGGGAATCGAGTGCCGCCTTCCTACCTCTGCAGGCATTCACAACATGGGTACACTTACACACATGCAGGCAATACACTTGTATACATAAAAATAATAAATAAAAAGTATTTGAAGAGCATTATAGTGTGTTCTGAATTTTACCAAGTTCATATTCAAATCATATTCTGGTTAAAGTACTCCTATATAGCATGGACCATTAGAACATAAAATTTTGAATAAGGTTTGATGTTTGGGTTTTGTTTTTGAGCAGGATCTCACTATGAAACACCTTGTAATCTCAGCACTTGGGACAGGAAGGCAGGAAGATAGTTCTAGCCCAGCTTGGGTTTCATAGTGAGATCCTTCTTCTGACCTCTGTGGGCATTGCACAACATGGGTGCACTTACATACATGAAGGCAATACACTCATATACATTAAAAAATATATTTTTAAAAATTACAGCATGGGCCTGGATGTAGTGGCACACCCTGTAATCCCAGCAATCTGATGAAGCAAGAGCACTGAGTTTGAGGGCAGTCTGGAATACACATGGAGACCCTGTCTTGAAAAATTACCTACAACTTAAAAATTTGGGAGTTAGAGTCTTTTGACTATCTTGGCATTAACTTAAGTTTTAATTTCTACCACATAAATTATCTCAATACAAAAGAACTTACTAAATCATATCTATAACACTTCTCATAATGTAAATACAGGAGTAACACATAGGTATCTCTGTGGCTAATATGCTTTTGTAGAACATCTTTTAGTTTCTGATAATTTAGAAGTTCATAAATCATGTGATTTTCTAATATGCATTTCTGTCAATCATTACAGGGAAAATTTTGCATTATAATAATAAAACACAACAAACATTTTAACAAAACAACATGCAGGAACAAAACTTCAATCTACATTCCAAGTAAAGGGGCTGCAGAGATGGCTCAGTGGTT